AGACACACTCCTCGTAGTCACTCTCCTCGTCGTCTCCGACCATCATTGCCGCTCCGGCCAGGGCTGTCTTGCCCTGCTTTCCCGGCGCATCATAGGTCAGCCTATTAGGGGGTTGAACTCTCCTCTTCCCCCTTCCTTCCTCCTCAGCTGCAGGGACTTGAAGGCCTTGGCGTTGCTGCGGTGTGGCTCGAATCCGTGGAGCACTCGTAGTACGGGAAGGGAGTGACGGTGCACGCTCGCTCACTTGCTGCACCTCCTCTTCTTCTTCCTCTGCATCATTGGCCTCCTCTCCCCCATTCACAAGGGAGGATTGCCTTGTGGTTGTGCTGCCGCTGCTCAGCTCCACAGGCAGCTCCACATGCTCCAAACCGGAACTCTTCACCTCCCCAAACCGCACGCCTATCTTCGCCTCATTCTCCGCCTTCCAATCCTTGTACATGAAGTTCTCCATGAACTTGCAGTCCCTGCTCACCAAGAACTTCTTGGTGAATGGATCCCAAAGAAGCCATCCCTTGCTGTTTTGAGCCATGCCCAAGTGCACGGCCCACACCGTCTTGGCACCAAGCTTGTTGTGCCGAAGATGCTTAGGCACGAGCGCCATGCACATGCACCCGAACACCCGAAGCATATCCACCTTTGGCTTCCTTCCTAGCCACTCCACATAGGGCACCCATTTGTCTGCTCCCACATGAGTCAAGGCTCTGTTCTTGGCCACACACGCGCTCCGCACCGCATCAGGCCAGAAATAGTCGGGTAGCCCGGCTTCAATGAGCAACCCGCGTGCCGCCTCCGTGATTGTGCGGTTCGCTCGCTCGGCGATGCCGTTCATTGCAGGGGAGTATGGCATGGTGAGGGAGTGCCGAATACCATTCTTCTTCAGCCACAACCCAAACTCCTTGCTCAGGAACTCTCCCCCTCGATCGGTGCGGATTGACTTGACTAGACGGTCTTGTTGCCGCTCCACCATCGGGAACCAATCCGTCTTCAACGTTTCAGCCACGTCGCTCTTCTTGGCCAGCACGTACACCCAAGTCATGCGGGTGTAGACGTCGACAATGGTGAGAAAATACTCAGCTCCAGCAGCTCCAAGCTTCAGGGGGCCCACCAGGTCCATCACCACCTCATCAAGCGGTGCCTTTGCCGTTGCCTCCGAACTAGGGAACGGAAACCGGGTGAACTTGGCTTGAATGCACGTCGGGCAGCCAAGCACCTCATCAGGCTCCCCCTTCACACGTATGCCAGCAACCATCTCATTCTTCACTAGCTACTGCAAGATGGGCAGGGCCACATGCCCCATGCGCCGATGCAAGGTGAGCCAATCACACTCCCCCGTACCCGAAGTTGGATTGGAGAATGTCGCGCTCGCAATAGCGCCCCACATACTCTCTCCGTAGTCCTCCTCCGCTGCTGCCTCTGGGTTCTCCTCACCCTTTTGCTGCTCCTTGGTTGCTGCACCACTCTCCTTAGGTTCACTGAACTTGCTGGTCCCTCCAGGTTTGCTCTTCTTGAGCTCATTCTCCTTAGCGCGACCGTTCGCGCCATCGTCGCTACCGACCGCTCCATCCTTGGTGCTGATGCTTGCTGCCACTTGCCTCTCCTTAGGCATAGGGACCACTGGGATCTGCCACATCTCGTTGTAGACATCCCTGTCCTCATGAAGGTCCCAAAGAATTCGATCGCCAAGCCTTGCGGTGTAGGTCTTGGCTCCCTTCGAGTTCGTGTCCATGCCGGCCTTTGCCAACCGCCGCACGGAAATCAGGTTTGCAGCAAGGCTGGGCACCCAAAGCACGTTCTTGAGGCCCACCATCTTCCCATCAGCACCCTTGAACATGGCCTTGCCCATGCCTTTCACCTCTGCTCGCTGCCCCAAAGCCGATGTGACATGCTTCACCGGTGACGGCTCGAGTTCGGTGAGCAAGTCCGGGCGAGGTGTCATGCTATAGGTAGCGCCACTATCAATCACCCAATAGTCCAGGGGGTGTAGGGTCACCTTCCCCACAGCTGCTGGCTCCTCAAAGCCTTCATCCTTCTCTGGACCAGCCGGTACTTGCGTCGACACGAAGTAGAATAGACCCGGGTATCGATCGTCGCTCGGGTCCTTGTCGTTGTCTCCGCTCTTCATGTTTGCAGCTCCGCCACCGCGACCGCCACGGCCTCCACGGCCTCGTCCTCTCCCTCCTCCTGCTCCTCTACCCTCTTGGCCTTGAGCAGGGGTCCAACCATCAGGGAGTTTGTAGCAGTCGCGCCACATGTGTCCGCTCTTGTGGCAATAGTGACACTCGCCGTCGAATCGGCCGCGACCGCGTCCGTAGCTCTTGTCGTCGCTGCCGTAACCGCCACTCCTGCGGCCTCCGCCGAAGTTGCTGCCACCAAACCTTCCTCCCCCTCGTCCTCTGCCTCTTCCTCGACCATATCCACGGCCGATGCTCGCTGCCCCAGCGCCATCCGCACTCGCCAACTCACGGCGGCGGAAATCCTCTTGAAGGATAGCTCGCTTCACGTCTTCAAGCGAGAGGCGGGGCAAGTCGCGATTAAGGTTGATGATGAGCGAGGACCATGACTCTGGGAGTAAGGCCAGCAACTTGGTCTTCTTTTGGAGCTCACTGTAGTTCAAATCAGCTCCCTCAAGCCGCGTCAACAAGTCGAAGAATTTCTGCACCCCTTCTTCAACCGCTTCGTCTTCTTCAATTCGTAGTACCGCCATTTGCCGTTCCAACACCACCGCTACCGCCGCTGTTGCAGGAGCATGTACACCCTTGAGAGCAGCCCATGCCTTTGGTCCTTTCTCTGGTTCACGCTGGAATGGCTTGATGTGACGGATCTGACTGCTCCCCAACGCTTGCCCAAGTAAGAGATAGCCTTGTGCGCTCTTCCGCACCCACGGGCTCTTCTCCGGGTCGTTCTCGGGGCGCTTCTCCGTTCTTTCCATCACCTCCAGCAGGTCATAGTGGTCAAAGATGTTCTCCATCTTGAAGGACCATTCAGCAAAGTTGTCACCGTTGAACTTGTCAAGCCCAAACACCCTAGGCTCATCCCTAGGTGGGCCAAGACTTAGTTGCATGGGCGCCATGGCTGAATCACGGGGTTGGCCTTGAGCTTGAGCTTCTCCACTGCCACCAGCACCTCTGCCACCCCTTTCCTCAGGTCCAGACATTGTCGAAACTGCTCCAAGGGGCTCTGATACCACTTGTTATAGTCACAATAGGCTTGAATGTGCCTAAAACGAAAGATAGAGAGCACAGACGGATTTCTGCACAGCGGCTTCAAACGTTGATAGCGTTCTGCTCACAGCTGCAAATGACTTGATTCAAATTGGATCTGGAGCGTCTTCACGTCGTCTACAATTATCAATTTAGATTGCACGATTTGATAAAGAATTGACGACACAACGTCGGTTTGAACGAACGGTACTATGGCAGCCACTATAGTCTTAGAACACAAGATAGGAAGAGTTACGAGTTGGGAATGACTCCCAGCTCCTACAAACCCCAAGAGCCGAGGTACAGTGATGTGGAACAGTGCCACACTGTCTAACCACGAAGGGTCTCGAAACTACCTTTCACTAGGGCCTACACCAAGTGAAATGTTACACTACACAAAGTAATGTAACTATCTTCAATATCTTGAGGTGTACCCTTCTGGCGAGCTTCGAAATCACTTGAGGCTTGACACCAAGGCTCGGGCTCTTCATCACAAACTCATCCTTGAGTTCTTGATGGGTCTGCTGCACACACCTGCGACACGCCGAACGTTCGACACAGGACAAAATAGAAACCGCGCACGACAAAATAGAAACCGCGCGCGAGACACAAACGACCGCGTAACACGCGTCTAGCGATAACTCGCTATTGACTCGACACACACACTCGACATCATGACTCAACATTCACACACAATTATAATATATATATTATCCCATGCCCTCATACCATTCCACACACACACACATTCACGCACACGGACAACAAGCCGAGTGCAAACCGTAGGGTTGCACCAACATGGGTGTGCCGAACGAAATGACGATCGGCTCGTCCGATTGTGCAGATGCGTTTGTCGGTGCTGGAATGTTCATCGTTGATTGCTGACGCGCGGAGTCACGTTCCGCTGTGAGCGTCGCAATTTCGAGCGCCGAATCTTCGAGTTGGCGCACCAGGCGGTGGAGCTGCTCCTGCGTCAATGTGGCGAGCGTGATTTCGGCCATGGCGGGGGTGTCGGGCGAGCTCAGCGGGAGCCTCAGTCGTGGCCGTGCGTGCTTACGAGAGAGCACTACGAGCGGCGGTGCTGTATCGCTGAGAGACGTCTACCCCCCCCAAAAATTGAGATAGTGGGGAAGCGAAGGTGTGGGTGCGGTCCGAGAAGAGATCGTAGGCTCTGAATACCAAGTGTTACGGGTGCAATTGAGTGAACGAACGAGAATTGCACTATCGAAGCAAGAATACAATGAGCGAAGGCATGAGCGAAGAATATATAGCGAAACTACAGTGGTAACGGTAATGGACTGTGGTTGTCGCGCGACGGGCCTGGAACTGAGGTTGGGGAAAGTGTCGAAGCGGAGGCCCGGAGCGCGGGTTACCCGCCGAGCCGTGAGGTCGGGGTGCGACGTGCGAAAGTGGCGGGCGGATTGTCGATGCGAGGATTGCGAGTGGTAACGGTGCTGACTGTGGTGCTACAGTGATGTACGCGTTGAGCAGGGATGCGAATTAAGGAAAAAGAGATTTTCCTTACAAAGACGAACGGGACGAGACAAAAAGCACTCGAGTGGGGAGAAAGGGAAAAGGTGTGGGCAACCATGTCAGGAGTGGGATTTGAACACACGCCCTTTCGGACCAGTACCTGAAACTGGCGCCTTAGACCAACTCGGCCATCCTGACACATCGGGGGAAGCTGAGTTTATGGATAGAGCTGGACCACGTAGAATTCAGTTCACAGCAAAGGCACACGGGCCACACACACTGTATTGCCCGTCTTGGAAGATTCACATGGGCGGGGACTGAGCTCACCGCATAGAAGATGTTGGAGTTGAACTTCTCCCCCGGGCGGCTGAGAGGAAAGAGGTCAATCTGAATGCCCAGTCCCCGTGCATCCTGCAGCAGGGCCCGGGGGAAAGGTGGTAGCGTAGAGAGACAACAGGATTTGGACGGAAAGAACAAGTCACTTTTGGATTGAGTCAGAGATACTTTTGGGTTGATTCAGACAACAAGTCACTCTCGAGGGTTGGAAGGAGATTACAAGAAGTCGCTTATAAAAACACTGGCAGCGCCTCGTCGGAGAGGGCCACACAGCAACAACGGGCAATGGTAGAAAGGGGGGAAGTCACCTTGGCCTTCTGTATGGTGGTGCGCCGCATGTCGCTCCGCACTCCCTCGTTGGAGATGGCTCCAAAGGGGTCATCGTCATTGGTGAAGAGAAGCACGTTCTTCAGCACCTCCTGTGACGTGGATCTGATGGCGGGAAATGGACAGTGACGGGGAAGAATCACAGTTACACATGGGATGGGACCCTCTGAAACAGGGAACCTGTATGGCTCCAAAGGGGTCATCGTCGTTGGTGAAGAGAAGCCCGTTCTTCAGCACCTCCTGAGACGTGGATCTGATGGTGGGCAGAGGAGAGGGAGGCAGACGAGACCACATTCACATAGTCATACACGTGACCACCTGCAACGAAGATGGCTCCAAAGGGGTCATCGTCATTGGTGAAGAGAAGCATGTTCTTCAGCACCTCTTGTGACGTGGATCTGATGGTGGGAAATGGACAGGGACGGGGAAGAATCACAGTTACACATGGGATGGGACCCTCTGATACAGGGAACCTGTATGGCCCCAGAGGGATCGTCGTCGTTGGTGAATAGCAGCACGTTCTTCAGCACCTCCTGTGACGTGGAGCTGGGGTTGGGGAAAGGAGAGAGGAGACAGAGGAGCACACTCGCGTACTCACACACTCGAACATCTGGAACATGGATGCCCCCAAACCAGTGGGTGGTCGTCGTCATTGGTGAAGAGCAGCACGTTTTTCAGAACCTCCTGCGACGTCGAGCTGGGGTTTGGCAGAGAAGGGAGGCAGACAAGCACATTTGTACATATGACCACCTGAAACGAGAAACGGGAATGGTCCCCCCAATGGGTAGTCGTCATTTGTATGCAAGCACCTCCTTCACCTCCTCGTGTGACGCAGAGCCGATCTAGAGGAGAAGAGGGCGACGAGGCGAAAGCACCTTTGCGCACTCGACACGGCTGTTTGAGACGATGCAACCCTAGCTGTTTTTGGGATGTCATATGTCCTCGTGATACTGGTGCATTGTTAATACAGCCACCATGTGAGTGATTCTATGCTCTTGAGAATTTAAAAAAGCGACTCCCGTTTACACATGTGACCACGTGAAACAAGTCCTTTGTAAGGTAACGCAAGACTCCTATTTCCGTGAGATGATGCAAGTGCTGCAAAACGAGAATGACAGAGGGTAAGGTGTGCACAGGCTCACAGGCTGAAAGGAGCAGTAACAATGACAGCAAAGACGAGAGGCACGGATACGGGACAGGAGGAGGGATACGGGACAGAAGGAAATGGACAGGAATGTTTTCTTGAGGGTTGATTGAAACTACAGCAACTCGAGAATAATCTGTACAATGATAGATACCAGGGGAGGGGGAAACGGATGGGACGTACCCAGTGCGCAGAAGCCCTTGCACGACCCACCTGACGGAAGGAAAGAAAAAATTCAGGAGAGCAAAGAGGAAATATGGCCGAAAAAAAAAAGGTCACTTCAGTGCACGGGGTGTGCAGAGGTTGTAGAGGACGAAGGTGAGAGTGGATAAAGTGGTCCAACAGAAGGCTTCAGGGCATATGAGCTGCAGATGGCCAGAAAACCCCTGGTTATGCGTAGAGTAAAAGATCAGAGTGCAAGAGTTGAGAGGACAGTGGCTAAGAGTTGAGAGGACGGTGGCTAAGAGTTGAGAGGACGGTGGCTAAGAGTTGAGAGGGCCTACAGGGCATTTGAGCTACACGTTGTCAGAGATGCTCCCCCACATGCATGCATGCACACAACGGGGAACAGATGAAGAAAGAGATGGAAACACACGAATCAAGACATGTTGGACGAGCGCGCTGCAACGAGAAACGCACTGAATGCCTTCGAGCCGAGCTAACTGCAGAACAAACTGTGTGTTACTCCAATGGCAGAAGACAACCCGATGGGAGACCGTTTGCACTAAACATTGGCAGAACCAATAACCTAATGGGAAACGCACATTGGGTTGTCGTGGGGCTTCACCTTCCCCCTCAACCAGTTTCCCGACCCAATATCTTTCTCAAACGTCTCTGGAAGTTGGCAGCACGGCAGAATGGCAGGGCGGTAAACGGAAATAAGAAGATAAGCAGATATTGGTGGGTGAGAACTGAATAATGATGGCATGGGTTGCACCCTAATCCTTACGTTAACAGACGAACAGAGTCAAAGGAGTGAGTCCTACTTTTCGGCACAAATCTGGTTTCAGAGGCAGGTCCCCTGTCGCAAAGAATAGCCGGAATACTGGAGGGAACCGACTGAGGTGCATGGACAGTCTGAATGCCGAATGCATGGGGCTACAATCGAAGGAACCGGTGAGGTATTCAGTGGGTTTGGATCGGTTCAGAAGGGTACCTGGAAGGTTGGAAAAGTCTCTGATGAGCTGTGCTGACGTCTGCTGGTTGTCCTGAAACACAAACACGCCCTCTGCCGATTGTACATTTTGCTTCGTGCGCTGCGATTTCAGAACAGAAGCAGCAAAATGAAATAAATTTGTGTCTAAAAGAGATTGCACCACACAGCGGAGTCGGACACAAATAATGACTGGAACAACAAAGAAAAGAAAGAAAGAAAGAAAGAAAGAAAGAAAGAAAGAAAGAAAGAAAGAAAGAAAGAAAGAAAGAAAGAAAGAAAGAAAGAAAGAAAAAGAGAATCAACAAGCAGCTAGATGCATGTGATGTGAACAGTGTTGAAGAAAGTTATGGAAAGAAGGTCGCTCTCCCAAGAAAGCATTCAGGACACCCACCAGCGAGCTGACATGTGAGTCGATTCAAAGAATTCAACCACCTACGCCGTGTTGAAGAAAGCAATGAAAACGAGGTCGATCTCCTGAGAGATTATCCTCGTTTTCAGGTCACCCACCAGCAGGGAGAATGTTAAGTCGAGTGTAAAGATCCACCTACCGTGTTGAAGAAAGCAATCGAGACGAGGTCGCTCTCCCGGGAAATGATTCTTGTCTTTAGGTCACCCACCAGCGCTCGCACCACCTCCTCGAAATACGTCCTCTCGCCGGCACCTCCCGTGCCCTCCTCCCCTCCTCTCTGCCTCTCTGAGCTGGCCGCACTGGTTTGAGTACCTAAGCTAGCTCCTGCCTCAACCTCTTCCTGCTTGAAATACAATGCCATGGATGTTACGCGAAAACATCAGGAAATGGCTGGAGATTTGGCTGGCTAAAAATGTCATCAATGCGAGTGAAACAGGACGAAGTTGGAATTTTAACATTCATTCAGCTGATCAGCATAAAAGTGAAAAACATTCAACGAACATACACACATTCTGGTCGTCGTGGTAAGTCGGGAACATGTTCGGTCCTGCATCTATGAAAAAGACCACTTTTGAGGCGCCTCAGAAATACACTTGATAGGTTAGTCAGCATATCGACACACCTCGTCGTCGTGGTAAGGCAGGAACATATCTGGCCCTGCATCTAGGCGCCTCAGAAATACTTTTAGTTGGTTGATCACAATATCAGCATATCAGCATACCTCATCGTCGTGGTAAGGCAGGAACATATCCGGTCCTGCGTCTATGAGGAACACCACCAGTTCCTTGCCGTCGGAATAGTCCTGACAGGCACGAAATCAGGGTAGGGGGAAGCTGTGAGAAATATGTAAGGTGGTTAATAACACATTAAGCGAATAACATGCTTGAAGATTGTCACGGGTAAAGATCATCCCCCGGAAGTATATAACATCCGTTGCGTCAGGCTAGGATGATGTAGCAGCAAAATGACGACGAATGCGACGAATCTGAGCTAATCTTGGCATTCGAATAAAGAGGAGCGGCTGAATGCAGCATCGCTCGGACCCTGCTGAATCGTCGACTTCAACGCGCTACTAGACACGTTAACTGAACGCACACTATAGCCGGTTACCATCTACTCGCGTACTTGAGGAATTTCGTCATCGTCGCCGTCCTTGTCGCCGAACAACGCAGCAGGGTCGAGATCCCAGTCCGCCATGGCACTCGCGGCATGCGACGCACTGGCTTGAAGCCACTGAACTGAACTTAGGAACGAGCAAGCTATCCGTCCGATAGGTATTTGCTTGGTGGTCTAACGGATTTGGCGCGTGTTGCTGACGCCTTCACAGGAGGGGAGGGAATTTCTGTCAGATGGAATCTTGGAACACATGCCACTGTAAGGCGTATGGTATGTCGTTTTCTTTTCTGGATATTCTTTACCACACATGTGAATCCCACTTGGAATGGCTCCATCTGTACCGTACCTGTTCTAGGCATGTTGATATACAGCTCTATCACAGAATCGGATAATTCATAAGGAGTACACTGTAACATAATTACAAGTGATGGATTTTCTCCATATCAACCACCTCTGTGAGCGTGCCTGCATCTAGATGGTCCCACCAGGCAGGCAGGAACCGGTCCACTACAAGACGGAACCATGGCGACAGCACCACTCCATCCTCCTTATTGTCAGCCTTGCGCACTAGCTCCTTCAACTCCTCTCGATCCACGAATCTTACAGCAGCCACCTCGTTAGGGTTTGGAGTGGCCTTCAAGTCAGCCTTGAGTACTAGGAGGTAGTCAACTGCATCAACAGAAGAGGAGCAGTAAGGATACAAAATAAGATATGCAAGGCATGATAAGGTTCGGGTTCAGAAGATGTGAATTTGTGGCATAGAGAGGGGAAATAAGGAACCATCAACTACACACTAGCAGGATATTTAGGCACCATCATGCACGACATTTCATCATGGACGAGATCCCACCCACCACCTTGACAGTGACGAGGTTCCACCACATTGACAAGGAGGGGCAGATTCATGATGCAAATTCACCTCTGATCAGTGCTCAAAGCATGCACTCACTCTCATGCTCGCCCCATTTCCCGTCAGAAGGAGCCTTGTAGTGCATGCGGCCAAGGCACGTGAAGGCCGACACATCCACAGTATCTGGGTCGATTCCCAGCTCGTCCTCCAGCTTGCGCCGCGCCGCTACGCGCACTCCCTGCGAGTTTTCCTCCTCCATCTCCTCCGGGCGGTACAGTGGGTGGCTGCAGCACGTGTTGGTCCACACCAGGGGGAACGTCACCTTGCACGCTGCACGTTGCTGCGGGGAGGGATAGAATAGGGTTATGAGGGGCATTCCATTGCAACCATGTAGCAGGATCAGATTCAATGTTATGTGTGTCTGATGGAACAGGCAGCATATATGCACACTGAACTTCTGTAGACCTGATACTTCGTTACACCTGTACAGGCTAGGCTACATTTGCAGTTCTGCTGAAAAAATGTATTTCTAATGCACTCCATAATTTCGTTTTTTCAGTACCTGGAGCAGCAGGCGGTGCTTGGAGTCGAAAAGGAAGACGCTGAAGGCACGGTGGCGTGCGGTCCCTTTATTGATGTTCTCCATAATGTGGCCTGTAAGGAGAGTTATGAAATGAGGTGCTTTTGAGTCATCTCAGAAAACACTGTAAGCCATGCGTGTTCGCCAACATTCTCCGCGATAGGCCGTGATAGCCCGGCGAGAGAACGAATGACATGTTCGTGTTTGGTTGAAGATGAAATTGCGTCCAATGCTGGAACTTATCCCAAGGTTACTCATTACGTACAGGTGTACTTATTGGCGTGACCCACCACCTTGTCGTTTTCATCTACGAGAATGCACCTGCGACGGCAGGCACCGGAAGGATAAAAATATTATGAATAGTCAATGCAGGAGACCCGTTAAGTAGTCAACACCTTAATGATCAACTCCTAGTGGTCATCACCTAACAAACGTTTCATGCAGGGTTGGGAGCATCGTAAGTCGAAAGGCGTGGATAATCAGCATCGGTGGCTTGTGACGTACTCGTCGTCGAACATGAGTCGCTGCTGCACCGCATCCATCTGTTCCTCTCCCGCACCCGCCGCTCCATTCTCCGTCGCTACGCTTCCCATCGCGCGGAAAACAGCCTTCTCACGGCTGAGCACCGAAAGAGACGATGGTGAATGTGACTCGTTGCTAGTTCTGAGAGTCGCGAACCGCGCGAGGCTAGACGAGAAAGCTAGGGAGGAACGAGCGAGGGATAGCCGTGAACTCTGGGGTGTAGCTCGGGGTTGAAACGACGAGAAGGTTGTTACACTGGTACTCAAACTACAGAGGTTGCGTGATGGGAGTGGAGACGCAGAAGATAAGGGACGAGGCACGGGATTCAACACCCCGAGAGGATGAGAGAGATGAGCCGCAGCTAGCAAAGGCCGTGGGGAGAGGAAATGCGGGAGAAAATGCGGGATCGCCGATGAGCGGAGAAGGGCAATGGCTGCACTTGGAGCTCTGGCAGCCATAAATATTTAGAAAAGAGAGGAACAAGTGAGTTGTAAGAATTCTGGCGACCAGGACCAAGCCTTCGGTGAGAAGCAACAGTAGGACGGAGAGGAAAGACGAGTGGAGAGAGGTGTGTGTTGCTGTCTGGTCTGGGATGGAAAACAGGGGAGGGTAGGTGGAGTGAAATGGAGGTTCGGCCTCCTCTGTGGGAAGGGAGGCAAGAGAGGAGAAGCCTTGTGGTTATTGTGGCTTGGTGAACCTAGGGAGACGCGGCGAGGAGATTGGTGGAGGTGACCGCTGATTGGCTCGCGCGGAGGCGGGTCACCGAACCTAGAAAGTATCTTAGCGCAAGTACACCGCAGAATTTGTAAATGAAAATGTTCGCGGTTCTATTCAAGCTGGTTCTACCGAATACGAGAATATCGAGGATTCTCTTCCCCTCCAAGCTCCAGGGTGCACATTCTAGCTACGTCTCAACTCCGTGTCGGTACTACGTTCCTTCCGCTTCCTCCCTCCGCCTCCGCCCTCCGTCTCCGCTCCCCACTCTCCGCTCCCTCCGCACCCAAGTTCCGCCTCCACATTCCGCCATGAGCTTCGCCGCCACGGCCGCGACCCTGCGACGGGAGCTGCAGCAGCAGCGCGCGAGGCAGCTGTACCGCCGATCGCTCAAGAACACGCTCAGCTGGGCGATTTTTCGCGACATCTACTACGACGAGGCGAGTGCTCGCGAAAAGACGTCGTTTCGTTACTAAGCTCGTCAAGGATCTGCTTCTAAACTACCTTCAACTAACGATCTTTCCGTATTTGCGTGCGAATGTTTTTCCGCGACGATCGCACTGTGCTCGCGCGTGATATTGCGTACGCGCTATTGCATGCGCGCCATTGCGCGTTGCTATTGCTTTCGCGCTGATGTCGTGTGGCAGGCCGACAAGCTCCGCGCGCTGTTCGAGGCGAATCGACATGAGGTGAGGTGGCCGGACAGATGGGCGCATTTGTCCAATGGGGTCGCATGTTCCGCACGCTCGCTCGCTCGCACGCACGCACGCACGCATGCAGTGCGATTGAGAGGTCTCTGAAGTTGAGGGTCGCTGCTCATGCCGAATCCCTTGTTTCCATCTCCATTCCTCTCTCCGTGCATCCTATACCTCTTTCTAAGAAGGCCAATTTCCCTTTTTTCCGCCTTCTCCTCCTTATCGTTCCCTCCCTCCCCCATTTCCGCCTTCCCCTCTCCGCCACTCCCCCCGGCCAGAGCGATCCGGATCGGATCGACCGTCTGCTGGCAGCGGGAGAGGCGAAGCTCAAGGAGAACCAGCACCCCGACCCGTACCTCGGTGAGTAAATGAGTGAGTGATTGAGTGAGTGAGTCATGGCATCAGTCGCTGGAGGCGCCTCAAGCATCGTCACGTCACAAGCTCAAGGAGAACCAGCACCCCGACCCGTACCTCGGTGAGTGAGCCATGGCACGAGGGCAGCCTTGATGTGCCTGAACCCGAAGTAAGCTCAAGGATCGCTCATCACAGGTCACAAGCTCAAGGAGAACCTACATGCTGACCCGTACCTCGGTGAGTGAGTTAGCCATGGTTCAGCGGCATATGGCGTTTAAGGCGTTCAAGAATCGCTCATCACAAATCGCAAGCTCAAGGCCAACCTGCATCCCGTCCCCCCATTTCCCCCTCCCCGTTCCCGCCCGCCCGTTCCCTGTGCCCCCATTCCCTGTCCCCTCCCCACCGCAGTGCCATGGGTGTGGGTGTATGGCGGATTCAAGTACGCTCGCAACGCAACCCTCTCTTCTCCCCATGGGCTCTCCTCCCGTTCTCTCCGCTTCTACTCCCCCCCCCACCCCCTTCTCCATCCCCTATGAACCTCCCTCTCCCCACCGCAGTGCCATGGGTGTGGGTGTATGGCGGATCCAAGTACGCTCGCAACGCAACCCTCTCTTCTCCCCACGCCACGCCCTCTCCTTCCTCCCCCCCTCCCCCCGTCCCTCCTGCTCCCTCCCTTCCCTCCTCCCCACCGCAGTGCCATGGGTGTATGGCGGATCCAAGTATGCTCGCAACCCTCCCTTCCCCCAAGAGGTAAGCAGCGTTTACCCTACAGCACTCCTTGTTGAGCAGCGTCCACCCTACAGCACTCCTTGTTGAGCAGTGTCCACCCTACAGCACTCCTTGTTGAGCAGCGTCCACCCTACAGCACTCCTTGTTGAGCAGCGTCCACCCTACAGCACTCCTTGTTGAGCAGCGTCCACCCTACAGCACTCCTTGTTGAGCAGCGTCCACCCTACAGCACTCCTTGTTGAGCAGCGTTCACCCTACAGCACTCCTTGTTGAGCAGCGTCCACCCTACAGCACTCCTTGTTGAGCAGCGTCCACCCTACAACACTCCTTGTTAAGCAGCGTCCACTTTACAGCACCCCTTGTTACCGTAAGCCATCTTTCCAGCAGCTTGTTGCCTGTTGCTTCCGCATGCACTGGCTCTCTCTATCTGCATCTGATCAACCGTCTTGGTGTGACTGTGTGTGCCCCTGTGTATGCCTCTGTGTGTGCGTGTGTACGTACGTGACTGTATGTGTGGATCTGTGCGTACGTGCATGCATGGTTTGTATGTGACTTTGTGTGCGCTCTGCATATATCCTCCTGTGTGGGTCTCTCTCTTTCTGATGCAGATTAGCATTGTTCATGGATTCGGAAAGGAGGAGCATTAGCACCCTTGTGTTTTCAGCACCGTAGATTCTGAAGATTCTGACACAGATTGTTGCTTGTCCGATTCATCTCTAGCCGTGCTTGCTTGCACTTCCTTGTTTGGGGGGACTTTGCTGTATCAATGACAATCACAGTTAAAGCTGAATCACGATTTGGTTCTTTGTTTCATACTTGCCACTTTTGCAGCCAGGATAGTGCTCGTTGCTTCAAACTTTCTGTTGTTCTCTCATCGTTTTAGTCTACTCTCCTGCTCTTTCCGTCTCCTCTGTCTCTCATACCTACCCATATCCCACCATTTCCTCCCCCCTCCCCTCGTCTGTCCTCTAGTCTACCCTCCCGTTCTCCCCACTCCACCCCAACCTTCAAGTTCCTCCTCCATCTCCTTTCTCTTCTTCTTCCCCCCCCATATTGCCTACCTCCCTACCAGCAGCCCCGTTTTCAGCCACACGCACACCCCCACCCACTCCCTCTCCGCCCTTTTTCCCGCACATGCACCTAGCCACAGCGGTTTTCCCGCACTTGCACCACACCTGATGAACAGTCCAGGCCTTTTCCATGGGCATAGTGTCAGCTCCGCTGCCAGTAGTGGCAGCAGCCTCAGCTGCAGAAGAAGCATCAGCAGCAGCACCAGCAGCAGCAGAAGCAGCAGCAGCGCCACCGGCAGTAACACCAGTCAGGGTATCTGCCATGGGCATAGTTTCAGGTCGGCTGCTTGGAGTGGCAGCAGCGCCAGCTGCAGCAGAAGCATCAGCAGCACCGCCAGCAGCAACACTAGCCCTAACACCACCACCACCACCACCACCACCACCACCACCACCACCACCACCACCACCACCACCACGAGCAGTGGCAAGTCAAAGAAATCGAAGCCCGATCCACCCCGCGACCGCCCCTTCATAGATCGCCTGCGCGTGCGCGTGGAAGGCGGGCGCGGGGGCAGCGGATGCTCGTCCTTCCGCAAGTCCCGGCACGCCCGGCACGGGGACCGGGACGGGGGCAACGGGGGGGAGGGCGGGGGGGTCACTCTAACTGCCTCGGCGGCTGTGAGGCATCTGGGGAATGTTGATAGGGTGGTGAAGGGGGGGGCGGGTGGGCATGGGTCGAGTAAGAAGCGGGTGGGGGCGAGGGGGGTGGAAAGGGAGGTGAGGGTGCCTGTGGGGACTGCGGTGTATTTGCTGGAAGGGGAAGTTCCCCTGGGGGACGAATTAGGTAGTGCTGAGTGTGGTGCTGGTGCCGCTGCTGATGCTGTTGCTGGTTCTGAAACGGAAGCAACTGTTGCTTCGCCGGGTAGTGGCAGCATGCCTGCGTCTCCCCCCTGGTGGGCTGCTCTGTTCGAGTCGTCCAAGGATCAGCAACAGGAGGAGCGGATGGGGGAACAAGTGGAGGGGAAGCAGGTGGAGGGGGAGGGGGAGGGGGAGGGGGAGGGTGAGGGGGACAGGGAGGCGAAAGGGAAGGGGGAGGAGGGCGAGGTGAGGAGCAGGGGGGGCGAAGAGCAGTACTGGCAGCAGTTGCTGCAGCAGTGGGTTCAGGAGAGGTACGGGCAGAGGCGAGCTCGGGCTGCTGATGATGAGGGGGGCGATGGGAGCGAGTGGGATGAGGGGAGTGAGGGGAGTGCGGATGACAGTGGGTCACATTCCCATGGGATGACACATGGTATGGCACATAATAGGGCTCGGGAGCGAGGTGTTTTGGTGGCTGATCTAGTGGAGGAAGGGCAGAGCGTGACAGTGGCGCGTGGAGGGAGGGGCGGCAGGGGCAACGCGTCGATGGGGCGAGTGAAACCGTGGGAGATGGAAGAATGTGATTTGTCGCACGAGAAGGGCAGTGCGGGGAGCAGGGCAGTGGCAGCAGCAGCGGCAGTGGCAGGGTCTGGCTTAGGCCATGAGAAGGGTAGCCCAGGGAGCAGGGCGGTGGTGGCATTGGAGCTGAAGACAGTGGCGGATGTGGGGCTGGTGGGGCTGCCCAATGCGGGTAAGAGCTCCCTCCTGCGCGCCCTGTCCCGTGCCAAGCCTAGAGTGGGCTGGCATCCCTTCACCACTCTGCACCCGCAGCTGGGTACTGTGATGGGCGGGGGAGAGAGTGTGTGGGAGGGAGAGGACGGGGGTGGGGGAGGGAAAGCGCTGGGGGAGGGAGAGGCGAGGGGTGACGACGCGTGGGGCGGAGAGGGGGAGGAGGAAGAGGAGGGGGATGAGATTGTGTGGGGAGAAGATAGGGGATTTGCAGGAGGGAGTGGAGAGAGGGGGTCGAAGTGGGATTTGGAAGGAGAGATGGGATTCACAGTGGCAGATATCCCGGGCCTGATAGGCGGCGCACACAGGGACAGGGGGCTGGGGCTGTCCTTTCTAAGGCATGTGGAGCGCACTAAAGTGATTGTCTACGTCCTCGATATGAGCGGCTCCAATACCAGTACTGTTTCAAGTGAACCTCATGCGAGCGAGCCTGGCGCATGTGAAGCTAGCGCAACCGAACCTACCACTACCGAACCTAGTGCAACCGAAATTAGCACAGCTGAACCTAGTGCTACCGAACGTAGTTCAGTGTCGGCAGGGGCCCTCCCTCCCTGGCAGCAGCTGCAGGTGCTGGTGAGTGAGCTGGAGCGGTATCAGCCAGGGTTGTCCCTGCGCCCTGCTCTCATTGCCGCCAATAAGATGGACGAGGATGCTGCAGAGGGCAATTTGACTGAGCTGAGAAGGCGGCTGAGAGGCGGAGGTGAAGGGGTGGATGTGTTGTTGCCAGTGCCGGTGGTGCCGCTGTGTGCAATTCTGGTGGAGGGGGTGCCTGAGCTCAAGGGGGTTCTAAGGCGCTTGGTATGGGGGTGAGAGGTGAGGGAGGAAATGAAGGGAGTTGGGTCTGCCAGTGCCAGTGGTGCTGCTGTGTGCTGTGCTGGGCGAGGGAGTGCCTTACCTCAAGAGGGCTTTAAGGCACATGGTGTGGGGAGGGGAGGCAGGGGCGGGTAGGGAAGGAATGCTACACTGCTGCGCCACATGTGCCTCACACCCCTCTGCTGCTTCCCTCCAAGTGCTTGCAGTACTGCTGAGGGTGTGTGCTGCGCTGGGGGAGGGGGTGTCTGGGCTGCGCTGGGGGAGGGGGTGTCTGGGCTGCGCTGGGGGAGGGGGTGTCTGGGCTGCGCTGGGGGAGGGGGTGTCTGGGCTGCGCTGAGGGAGGGGGTGTCTGGGCTCAAGTGGACCCAGCTCACATCGTTTGGGAAGCGAGGGGTGTGCAGGAAACGATTTTCTAGACATGTCAAAAGTGGCACATGGTTTGGGGAGGGAAGGATGTGTAGGAAAGGAATGCCACACCACCAAACGATTTTCTAGACATGTGCACTGTAGTAGCACTGTGTTTCTGCTGTGTAATGAGGTACTTCGAATGCTTCTACGGGTCTTCCCTCACCACACTTTCTGTACTCGATACAGAAATTCATTCGCCACGCCACCGACAACTTGAAATATTCGAAATCAGCGCAGCGAACAAAAAAACCCAAACGTATCTTCCCCGCAAAGATTTTCTATGGACTCAGCTTCACCTGCCGTCCGTTAGGGTTACGGCAAACTGCCCAACTCACCCTAGCCGCCTAACGCACTCACCTATCCACCTCAATTTCCGTCAGCATTTCAGTTTTTAGGTTTTCCATCCAACTGATGACTCCGAGTTGGTGCTGTTAGGTTGTCCGAGCTCGTAGTCAGCGGCTCGAGATATTTAATGAGGCTCTAATCAACTTATATTTTCGTAATATCGCAGCTATGCACTGAGCGGGATTAGAGTATACGACTAATGTTTCGTTGACGCATGGTTGTTTGGCATGGAAGCAGAGAAATGGCCTCTTTTCGCGTTCTGCTCACGGAATAAATGTTAAACGACAGAAGCTGTTTTGGTTCCTCCCAGCTGGTTACTGCTTTCGCTAGACTGCTTTTCGCCGTACTGCTTCTCGCCTGCCACTGCAAACAACCTCACATCAACAGTGCTCAACGGAAGTGGACGCATTGACGGCCGACACGACTGCCGCAGAAGCTCCTTTTAGGTCTCCGCAGCTGGTTACTGCTTTCACCGGACTGTTTTTGCCGTACTGCTTCCCTCCTGCAAACAGCCTCACACAGGCAATAGTCAACGGGAGTGGACGCATTGACGGCCGACACTACTGCCATGTACTGTCGGCTCGCCGTTAGATGCGCACGCGGAGATTCTCCACCGTGCGATGCTCACCGCGAGATGCGCAGTTTCTTGATACGCCGCACAGATGCTTACCTGACAATGCTTCCAGACAATGTTTCGATGACTAAGCTTCCAGCACGCGACAATGCTTAGCTGACATGCTTCCAGCACACGACCGCATTTTTCTTCTCAAATTCGCAACCAGGGATCAATCATTAGCGCTTTAATTTCGTTACCGTGAGGCTTTTCCGTTGCACGCCAATCAGCACTCGCGGCTACCATAAACGGGCTCCCATGTCGTAACCGGGTTACCCTACGGCAGTCATGTCGGTGGAAGCTTCTGAGAGAATTTCCAGCACCCCGGCTGCGCCTCACTTCACTTCTTCCGCTCATCGCGGCGGGAATTCCGGCGCAATTCCCGGCGGGAAGCCCTCCGCAATGGCCTCTGCGAAGTCGGCAGGAGGGGAGAACGCCGGGGGAGCAGCTTCGGAGAACCTTCCAGGACTCAAGGCTGGCAAAGGCGCGGGGGGAGGGGGATCGCAGAGCGGAAGCGGCACTGGGGGAACGGGCGGAGCTCATGGGGGAGGGGGAGTGGGAGGGACAGGGGCAGGGGGAGGCGGAGGAGGGCTGGGGGGAAGCGGAACAGGAACCGGCGGGTTTTCCAGCGGAGGCGCTGGTATTGGGGGGGGCATCGGCGGAAGCAGCAGCAACACTGGTGGTGGCATGGGCGGTGGCAGCATAGGCAGCATAAGTCCCATGCCTGGTGGCGGGAATATCAATAGCATTAGCAATAGCAGTATGAGTGGTGGCGGTAAGATGGCGAATGGCTTAGGTGGCGCAGGTGGGGGGAGTGGCGGGGGTGGGGGGAGTGGCGCAAGTGGCGCAGGTGCGGGGGCTGGCGGGGGAGGCGGAAGTAGCTCACAATCGCTTGGCGCGCAGCCGTCGATGCTAAGCAATGGCGCGGCGCCGGGGGGGAGCTTCGAGGCGGAGAGATTAAGGACGTACCGCCAGTGGTTCCACGAGCTGGACGCGCAGCGCAGCGAGTTAATCTCCTCCGGCACCAAAGGCCCGGTTCTTAAGTAAGCGCGGCTCTTAAGTAAGCCAGGTAATTTTGTTTACTCGGTTCTTAGATAAACCTGCTCCTTTGGTGTCTTGCGAAATCAGGTGTTTGGAGGAGCTGGTGATGCTGGGCACCAAGCTCGGCGCGCTGTGCTCCCTCTCCCCTTCCTAATCCACTCCAACCGTTCTCAACCCCTCTGTCCTCCTCCCCCAAGGCTATTGGAGTGCGAGATTAGGTGTCTGGAGGAGCTGGTGATGCTGGGCACCAAGCTCGGCGCGCTGTGCTGTTCGCCCATAGGCGGGGACGCCACCAGGCTCTCTGCCCCCGCCGCCACTGCCATCCCCGGCAAGCCCCGCCTGTGAGTGTCTTTTGAGGGGCCTCTAGAGTAGCAAGCTCGGCGCGCTGTGCTGTTCGCCCATAGGCGCGGACGCCACCAGACTCTCCGCCCCGGTTGCCACTGCCATCCCTGGCAAGCCCCGCCTGTGAGTGTTGCTGTAGCGAGTATGAACTTATTGCGAGTATGACTTACGTAGGTAATATAGCTGTTTTTGTAAAGCAGCTACACACGTTAGTCGCAGGGAATGCTGCATGAGGCACAATTCAGAAATTGCTTTGTTCCTTCCTCACTTTTCCCCGTGCGTACCCGCTTTCCAGAGGTGGTGGGGTGGACTCCTGGCCATCAGATGATCCCCTATCTCCAGTGGACGGCCTAGATCTCTCGCTGGTCACGGACATGCTGCTCCTCTCTGCCACCTCACCATGGACTGTCTACGTGGCAGATAGGACAAATGTAAGCAGTGGTTGGCATATAGGACGATGCTAATGTGGCACGTGAGTCAGAATGGGGTTCGACGCTCGTGCTGTGCTGTGCGGTGTGGTGTGGTGCAAGGTGGTGCCATGCAGTGCTTTGCATGGTATTTTGGGATGGTTGCAGGCCTGTTTCCAACCATTCTTCCAGTTTCTTCCCCTTCCTCTCTTCTCACCCAACCCCCGCATCCACTTGCATAACCCCCTTCCCCTTTCCCCACCTCTATCTTCTTCTTCTGCCCCCCTCTCAGTGGCGGCTGTGCTACGTGTCTCCCAGTGTGCGCGCCACGCTAGGGTGGCGCCAGGCAGAGCTGGTGGGGGAGCACGCCTTTGCAGCGTGCCACGCAGACGACCTGCCGCGCATCCAGCGCATGATAGACGACCGCCGCTTGACAGAAGACCGCCGCTTGCTAGACGACCGCCGCTCGCCGCCCCTCTCCCTCACGCCGCCCACCGCCTCTGCCGCTTCTCGTCTCTTCCGGTCCGGGTCGGCGGGGAGTCCGAGAGGGGTGGGCGTGGGGGATTCGCTGGGTAGCAGCCCGGGCGGCAGTGCGGGCGGCCAGTGCGTCTTTTATCGGAGGTTGAGACGGAACAGGAGCTACGCGACGGTGCAGGCCACTGGGAGGGCTCTGGGCGCGAGGTGATTGTGTGTGATGTGTGGTGTGGTGTGGTGCAGTGTGGTGTGGTGTGATGTGGTGTGGTGTAGGTGTGGTGTGGTGTGATGTGGTGTGGTGTGGTGTGGTGTGGTGTGGTGTGGTGTGGTGTGGTGTGGTGTGGTGTGGTGTGGTGTGGTGTGGTGTGAGTGGGGGCAAGGTGAATCGTGAATGTATGCTTGCTGTCATGGGGGTTTCCCCGATGTCTGTCTGACTACCCATGCACCCATGCTCCTTCGATCATGTACCCATGCCCGCTTCCCTTATGCTCCATACCCTATGCCTCATACCATGACCCTCTGCCCCCCATGCCTCGTATCATGACCCCATGCCTCGTATCATGACCCCATGCCTCCCATGCCATCAGGTGGTTTGCATGGATCGAGTTTGTCACTGACGACTCCTCAGCCCCTCTGGTGAGTGCTCCTTCCCTCTCCCCTCTTCTCGCTTCCTTTCCCCTCGACCACTCTCCTTACCTACCACTCCTCTCCTCTCCTCTCCTTTCATCGTCCCTTTCCCGTCAGCCCATTCTCATCAGCCTCCAGCCCCCACTCGATCATCATGATATGGATCCGTCCATCCCCCCCTCCTCTTCTCTCTCTTCACCCCCTCCAACCCCCTCCTCTTCTCTCTCTTCACCCCCTCCAACCCCCTCCTCTTCTCTCTCTTCACCCCCTCCAACCCCCTCCTCTTCTCTCTCTTCACCCCCTCCAACCCCCTCCTCTTCTCTCTCTTCACCCCCTCCAACCCCCTCCTCTTCTCTCTCTTCACCCCCTCCAACCCCCTCCTCTTCTCTCTCTTCACCCCCTCCAACCCCCTCCTCTTCTCTCTCTTCACCCCCTCCAACCCCCTCCTCTTCTCTCTCTTCACCCCCTCCAACCCCCTCCTCTTCTCTCTCTTCACCCCCTCCAACCCCCTCCTCTTCTCTCTCTTCACCCCCTCCAACCCCCTCCTCTTCTCTCTCTTCACCCCCTCCAACCCCCTCCTCTTCTCTCTCTTCACCCCCTCCAACCCCCTCCTCTTCTCTCTCTTCACCCCCTCCAACCCCCTCCCCCCCCCCCAGTCGCTGGACAACCGGTCATCGGGTCTCACAATGTCCCCGTCCACGCTGCTCTCCCCCATGGAGTCTCCTTCAAGCCCCCACACCATCATCACCACCCTCAAGCGCCGAGCCTCTCTTGCTCCCCTCATTGACTTGCCTCCACTTTCCCTTTCCCCCTGCCCTCCCCCCCCCTCCTTTCCTCTGCCCTCCCCTTCCCCCTCTGCCCTCCCTTTCCCCCCCATCCTCCCCCTCTCCCCCGCTCCCCCTCCTACTTCCCCTCCCCCAGTCACTTGACAACTGGTCATCCGATCTCACCATGTCCCCCTCCACGCTGCTCTCCCCCATGGAGTCCCCCTCTAGCCCCCACACCATCGCCGCCGCCCTCAAGCGCCGCCCGGGCGGCATGGGCGGCAGCAGCCTAAGCGCGGGCGGCTTAAGTGCCGGCAGCTTAAGTGGGGGAGGATTAGGCGGGGGAGGTTTGAGCGGGGGAGGTCTAAGTGTGGGTGGTTTGAGTGGCGGTGGTTTAAGTGGCGGAGGGTTGGGCGGTGGGAGTCTAAGTACTGGTGGTTTGGGTGGGGGCGGGCTGATTTCAGATGATTTAGGGGGGCCTGGGGGTGTGGGCGTGGGCGGTGGAGGTGGTGGTGGTAGTGTAATCAGTAGCTTGTCTTTACCTCGGAATAGAGATAGAGAGAGGGACAGAGACAGGGACAGGGATAGAGACAGAGACAGGGACAGGGATAGGGATATATCCCCTCTCACGCGTTTGCACATGGGACTAGGACTAGAGACTTCAAAGGATAGTCTACACAGAGTAGGTATGGGCCTGGGTTTAGGACTAGAGATTAAAGACCTAGAGTCGTCATTACGCCGCCGCCCCAACACCAGTGGAGGGGGAGCAGCAGGTGTGCTGGGTGGGAGTGGAGGAGGGGGAGGTGGCGGAGGCAGCAGCGGCAGCGGGGGCGGATTGGGCAGCAGTGGGAAGGGGTTGGGGGGAGGAGGAGGAGTGGGAGGCGGCGGGGTGCTAGGGGCGGGTGGGGGAGGGGAAGGGGCGGAACTACTCTCTGCCTTCTCCTCTCTGCCCTTCCGAACGCCATCTGAAATGGAAGAATTCAGAAGGAAGCTTGAGACCATGCGGCTTGATTTGGCTGGGGGAGGCGCTGGAAAGAACTGGGGTGGGGGCGGAGGCGGAGGAGGGGGAGGGGGCGGGGGAGGGGGAGGCGCGGGGGGAGGCGCGGGGGGAGGGGGGAGCGGAGGGGAGGGCGTGGGGGGGCGGAAAGGGGAGAAGGCGTGGGGGCAGCACCTGGGGACGGTGAAGGAGGGGAATGAGGAGAAGGGGGCGTATGCTCGGCGGCTGTTGAACAACCTGTGGGAGTATAACAGTGAGATGGACGGGCTTTCCAAGGAGTCCAGCCAGCAGAACAGGTATGGTGCTGTGCGGTGCTATGCACTGCTGTGTGTTGCTGTGTGTTGCTGTGTTTTGCCGCGCGGTGCTGTGTGGTGCTGCTTGAGGTTACGAAAAGTTCTTATGGTGCCTTTGAGACGTCTCCAAACTGGACGTCCCTCCGCCTGATTCCCCCCTTCCCGATCCCCCACCCACCCTCGGCCCCCCAACAGCAGTCTGGATTCGAATGAGAGGTACTGCAGCAGATTGTGAAGATGCGAGTTGAGATGGAGCGACAGGCATCCGCAGCAGCACCGTCAGTTTGGTGCCATACAGTCAATGCGTGCCTTCAACTGACATATTCACACTCACCCACCTGCCCCCACCCCAACACCTCACCTCCCCGCCCAACCAACAGCAGTCTGGATTCAAACGAGGAGGTGCAGCAGATTGTGAAGATGCGAGTGGAGATGGAGAGGCAGGCATCCGCAGCAGCAGCATCAGCCTCCCATGGCTCCTCCACCCGCCTTGGCATGGGCATGGGCATGGGCATGGGCATGGGCGTGGGGATGGGCATGGGCGGGATGGGCATGGGGATGGGCGGAATGGGCATGGGGAAGGGGTTATCTGGTGTAGGTGCTACTGCTGCCTCCTCCTCCTCCTCTGCCTCTGCTGCTGCGCGTCGCGCTGCTGTTTTGGATCGGGCTATGGGGGGGAGTGGAGGGCTGGATGGGAGGGGGATGGAGGGGCGAGGGGTGGATTTACGGGACGGGAGGGGCGGGGCGGGAGGAGGGTCGGGGTCGTTTTTTGACACGGGGCAGAAGGCGAAGAAGAAAGCAGGCTCGGGTGCAGGTTCGGGCGTTGGTTCTGGGGTTGGTTCGGTGCTTGACGGACCTACAGCGGAAACGCTTCGGAAAGTGTTAGATGATGATGATGATGAGGAGGAGGAGGATGAGGAAGAGGAGGAGGAAGAGGAGGAAGAGGAGGGGGAGGATGAGGATGAAGAAGGGGACGAGGATGAGGACGATAGTGGGAGTGTGGTGGATCGAAGCGTAAACGGGCCTATTTACAAACGAGCAGCAACCGCTTCAAAAATTTCCCGGGAAGAACTTTTCCACCTGCCCGTGCCCGACCCCAGCCAATACAATCGCTCGAGAAGCGTGCCGAAATCCCACGACCGACTCAAAGGGGGCAGAGGTGGAGGGGATGGCGGAGGAACCTCAGCAGAAAAAGGCGAGCGAGGGGAGAAAGGCGAGAGGGGAGAAAGAGGAGAGAGAGGCGAGAGGGGAGAGAGGGGGGAGAGGGGAGAGAGAGGAGAGAAGGGTGAGAGGAGAGAAAGGGTGGGGTTGAGCCGAGGGGGGAGCGCAGGCGGCCCCACCAAGACCCTCTTCCTTGAAGCCAGTGGCTCCTCCTCTGCTGGATTTGGCCTCTCCCTCTCCCCCCGAGGAGGCGACCGAGCAGCACGAGGAGGAGAGAGAGGCGGAGAGAGAGGAGGAGGAGGAGGGGGGGCGGCGGCGGCGGGCGGCGGAGTGGGCGGCGGAGTGCTGACGGTGTCCAAGCCGTGGAGTCCCCTCCCTCTGACGGCGTCCACCCAGCTGGGGGGAGCCCGCGGGGCCAAGTCGTTCACGGGGGGGTCGGCCTTCCTGGAGTCCCTTCCTGAGGAGGACAAGAAGCTCATCCGGGGGTTCAAGGTGCGTGCATGGCTTAAGGTGGGCTCAGGGTTCATGATTCAGGGTCGGTGCGGGGCTTGAGATTCAAGGCGGGAATCACTGCCCGAGGAGGACAAGAAGCTCATCCGCGGCTTCAAGGTGCGTGCAGCAGGGTGCAGGATTGGGTGTTGAGTGGCACAGTGGCAGCACTCCTTGTAGGATCCAGGGTTTGTGGTTGAGTGTGGGATGCGAGCAGCCTTCCTGGAGTCGCTGCCTGAGGAGGACAAGAAGCTCATCAGAGGGTTCAAGGTGCGTGTGCAGGATTCAATGTCGAGTGGCACAAATCTTTATGGTTGAGTGTTGAGTCCACGGTGCACACGGCTCCACACTCCCTCTCCACCCCTCTCCACCGCTCTCTTCACCTCTCTCTTTTACCCCCTTCTCAGCTGCTCACCCCACTCCCTCCCCCCCAGGTGCTAGTGGTAGAGGGCGACATAGTCAACTGCACCATCAGCCGCCAGCTCCTCAAGCTGCCAGATCATCCCATTCTCCTCGCTGCTTCCTTCCCTCCCCTGCCCCCCCCTTCAAACCCCCCCCCCCCCCCCCAGGTGCTAGTGGTGGAGGACGACATATTCAACTGCACAATAAGCCATCAAATCTTGGAAATTTTATCCTGCCGCGTCACGCTCACACGCAACGGCCGCGACGCGCTCGACCTCATGCGGGGAGGCACAGACCTGGAGCTGCAGGCGCAGGAGACCGCGGTGGCGGCAGCACTTTCCTTCTCCACCCCTCTCCAACCCTCTCCACTTTCCTCCTTGCTCTCCGCACTCCCTCTTCCCCACTATCCACTTCCCCCTCCCCCCAGGTGCTGGTAGTAGAGGACGACATAGTCAACTGCACCATCAGCCGCCAACTCTTAGAACTCCTCTCCTGCCGCGTCACTCTCACACGCAATGGCCGTGATGCTCTAGATCTCATGCGGGGCGGCACAGACCTGGAGTTGGAGGCGCAGGAGGCAGCGGTGGCGGCCGCAGGGGGCGCGGAGGAGGGCGCGGAGGTGGCCCCGCAGTTTGACCTGGTGCTCATGGATCTGAACATGCCGGTCATGGATGGGATTAAGGCCGTGGAGCAGTTTCGAGAGTGGGAGGAGCTGGCTGAGCCTCGACGGCAGGCCACACTGATATTCGCTGTCACGGCCAACGTCTCAGGTGAGAGGGGGGCTGTACCGGGTCTTTTAAGCGGGCGTGTGTGGAGAGAGAGAGGGAGCGCAGTTTGACCTGGTGCTGATGGACTTGAACATGCCGGTGATGGATGGGATCAAGGCCGTGGAGCAGTTTAGAGAGTGGGAGGAGCTGGCTGAGCCGCGACGGCAGGCCACTCATGACTGGCTGCTCATGACTGGCTTGCTCATGACTGGCTGCTCATGACTGGCTTGCTCATGACTGGCTGCTCATGACTGGCTTGCTCATGACTGGCTTGCTCATGACTGGCTTGCTCATGACTGGCTTGCTCATGACTGGCTTGCTCATGACTGGCTTGCTCATGACTGGCTTGCTCATGACTGGCTTGCTCAGGAACTCGAGAAACCCTTCTTTACCTTCCTTCCTCCCTACCCCCCCTCACAGCGGCCCTTTCCCCATAACATGCACATCTGTGTCTCATCCCACCAACCCATCTCCCAAACAACTTTCAAGGTGTCTTTCCTAAGAGTTGCTGCCACGTATTGAAACCATGGCACCTACTTGGTGCTATCCCCCTCACAGCGGCCCTCTCCCCATGACACGCGCACCTCTCCCCATGACACGCGCACCTCTCCCCATGACACGCGCACCTCTCCCCATGACACGCGCACCTCTCCCCATGACACGCGCACCTCTCCCCATGACACGCGCACCTCTCCCCATGACACGCGCACCTCTCCCCATGACACGCGCACCTCTCCCCATGACACGCGCACCTGTGTCTCATCCCACCAACCAACCCATCTCCCCGCCCCCTTCCAGCAGACAGCAACATGGTGAAATGTGCACAGAAGGTCTTTCACGAGTTCTTGAGCAAGCCACTGACGACCCTTCCCCACTGTCCCTTCACCACCCTTCCCTCTGCTCCCCTCCCCTCCTCCCCCTTGCAGATGGCAACATGGTGATGTGCTCCCAAAAGGGATTTGACGAGTTCCTGAGCAGGCTGCTAAAGTCTCTTCGCCCTTGTTCCCCACCCTTTTCCCCGACACTCACATCTCTCTCCCCCATTTCCCGCCCTCTCCTCTCTCCCCCGCAGACGGCAACATGGTGAAGTGCGCCCAGAAGGGCTTTCACGAGTCCCTGAGCAAGCCACTGATGAGAAACCTCACCCTACCTTTCCCCCTTCCCCCTCCCCTCTCCCCTCCTCTCCCCCCTTTCCCCAGACGGCAACATGGTGAAGTGTGCCCAGAAGGGATTTGACGAGTCCCTGAGCAAGCCACTGATGAGAAACCTCACCCTACCTTTCCCCCTTCCCCCTCCCCTCTCCCCTCCTCCCCCCCCTTTCCCCAGACGGCAACATGGTGAAGTGTGCCCAGAAGGGCTTTGACGAGTTCCTGAGCAAGCCACTGACGCCTGAGAAGCTGCTGAACCGCCTGCGCGAGGTGTGCCGTCGCCAAACCATCCACCGCGCGCTCTGACCCTCTGAGACACCGACCGACACTCGGAGATTCTCATCCTCGACTAGCGCACTCTCACAGCCCGAGTCTCAGTGTCTCGGTCTCGTACCACCCGTGAGAGGTGTACCGCTGACAAACCATTCACTGCGCCCTCGTGACTCAGCTCGGCTCTCTCACTTTCTCGCTCTGCTGCTGTGTTGCGGTAAATTAGTAATACGTGGTCGCGCAGCTAGCTATCCATGCCTGTGTGGGTCATCAGTGTGGTGTGGTTTGGTGTGGTCTGATATACTGTACCTATTCTGCCATGGTCCAGTTTGTTATGGTGCCTTGCCTTGCCTTCCATCCATTTCAGAAGGTCCTGCCATGTTTGTTATATTACTGTGCTGCGAGCAAGACATGCTTGTTCCAGTTCTCGGGGTGCTTGTGCTAGTTTCATTTTGCTTGTATGTAATCCAATAACACACTGTTTGCCATCAGTTACCCTTAACAATTCGGTGGACTTCTTACAGTAAGACAAGGTTTAAGAAGTAATATGATTGAATGTACTACTGGAGCGAGACGGCTAGAAAGCCTTCGCCTGTTATTTACCTGAAAGTCTCCTGCTTATAACGAGTACGATTCACCTCACTACTCCCCCATTTCTGCACGCTCCGTCTCGCCGTCTTCCCTCAGACCGACAACCATGGCTGCTGCAGCAGCATCCTCGCGACTTGCAGCCACCGCGTCTCGGATCTCTGTTGCTCCGAGTGGCACTCGTAACGTTAAGGCGAGCAGCGCTAGAACGAGCATTTGTAATGCAATCAGTGCGAATAAAGCGATCAGTGCAAATAACGCGATCATTGCCAGTGATGCAGTAAGTGCCACTAACGCGGTCAGTGCTTGTGCGAGCAGTGCCATGGTCCTGCGCGCGACAGGCGCACGCGCAGCGGATCTCTTCCCCCGCGCCTCCGCCGCCGCTGTCACGCATCTGCGCGGGAGCTGGGGGGCGGGGCGGAGCCATTCGCGCGCAACATCCCCCCTGGACACGTGGCACAGCGCGAGGTCGACCCGCTGTTGCGCATCCGTCGCGTCCGGGCGAACGAGCAACAGGAGAGCAGGGGAAGTTGAAGGAGAGTTAGGTGACGATCGTGCGTTATCGAGGCGTGGTTATAAAGGGGATGAAACAGACGGGTTTGATGAAATTGACGGTGAGGATTGGCTGGACGGCGACGCGACGGACGGCGACGACGGCTGGCTGGAAGAAGGCCGTGTATCGGCGCAATCAAATATACTCGATAAGAGCAGCAGCAGTAGCAGCACTGTTTTGTCTAACAGCCAGTCGTGGTTGGCGGAGGGAGAAGGCGGGTCCGCGCCAGGGGGAGGGGAAGAGCCCGCAGGGCCGTTAGGGGGAAAGCTGGGGAACGCGGAGCGGAAGGAGCTCCGCGCGTATGCGCACCGCATGGGCAACCGGATAAGCACGCACCAGGTAAGACCTCCCTCACGTGCGGCAGGTTTTTTTTGTCCTCTGCAGACCAAGGGTTTATGAAGGTTCAGGGTACACGAAAAATGGCCGTGCTCAGTGTCCGTGTGGGGGTTTGGGTCAGGGACAGGGTAAGGTTTAGGGTTAGGGTAAGGGTGAGGGATAGGATGAGGTTCAGGGTTAGGGTTTTACAAGAATGGTACAGGCAGTGTCGAGAACACAGGTTGGAGGTAGCGATAGTAGTGAGTGTGCTTGAGGGTGGTGTTTGTGGAGGCTGCCTTGTGTCTCGACAGCAATCAGAGCTCAGCCAATAGTACAGGTTTCCCACCAGGATTTGCGTGGATCTAATTTGCCTGACTTCGCGTTGCTTGCCTTTGTGCTGCGTACGTTTGCCTTGCCTGCGTGATCCCTTCCCTTTGTTTGGCTTGCCTGTATCCGCCTTGTTTTGTGTGTGCCTGGTATATATGTGGCTGATTGCGTGCAGATTGGCAAGTGGGGAGTGACGTCTACAGTCATCACATCCTTGCATGATGGCCTGGAGAAACACGAATTGCTCAAGGTGAGAACATGCCAAGCTCATAACACGATTACCAGCTTTTCAGTCCTGTTTTGCAGCATATTTTGTTAATCACTGTTTCGCGCTTTGTTAACGTCTGTAGCTTCATTTCACACCTGGCTAAGGTGTCAAATATCCTTAGTTGAACTTCCTTTCTCTTTTACCATGTCCTGGTCAGATAAAAATGTCTGACAACTGCCCGGATGAGACATGGGAGGTGGGGCAGATTCTGGAGGAGAAACTAGCAGCGCAGGTGGTGGGTTTGATTGGTCGCACAGCACTGCTGTATCGGCCAAGCCTCACTAAGCTGGCACGAGAAGAGGAGATGGCAAAAAAGGAGAAAGAGCGTGAGAGGAGGAGGAGAAGAGGGATGAGTGGAGGGCCAGAACGGGGTGGAGGGAGGCGGGATGCTGGAAGATCAAGGAGAGGAATGGGGGATGATGAAGCTAGGGGTAGCGGGGCGCGGGGTAGAAGTGGTGGAGCAGGACGGGGGGGAGGCAGGCAAGGTCGAGGAGGGACCCAGAGAAGGGGAAGGTAGAGATATTCAGAGTTACGCAGCTGATAGTTTGTGTGCAGTGTAGTGTTTTATTTTTTTAAGCTCCAGCTTGATCCTCTGTAACAAGCAGCCAGGTAGTTACGCATATCAAGTTGATTGATTCAGGAGGGACAAATGTAAGGATATGGTCTTTCTAAAGTCGCTGGGCTATACTGAATCCAATTCTGCAAGCAAAGCAAGCTGATACGCCTTTCTTTGGAGGATGTGCTGGACTCCTCTCCTCACCTCCTTCGGAAGTTTGTTGTACGAGGTTGCGTCATATTTATTAGAAGTGTTAACGCAGATCACGAAATTGTGGACCATAAAACGGCTTTTCTATATAGTGGACACAATCAGTAAACAAAACGGTCTCACACATGCAGAAACAAACAATATGCAGCATTTCTTATCCCTTTCTTATGTTGAGAATAAGTAAACTCTTTTCCAAGAATAACAAATTTCCTACTTGATTGTAAAGAGTTTCTAACAATTCTTCCATGTCATGTGATCCCAGTGGTTCACAGCTGAGCGTTCTCACCTGACAAGTGTAGGATCGCCACACTCCATGAAGCCAACCACCAGTTTCGCCGGCAAGACGGCCAAGTCAGCTTCTTCGCCATTGAAGTTAGCGAAATTAATTGCGTTTCGTAAGGCATACCTCGACCGTTCGCGTACGTATGGGCGGTGAAATTTCTCCCCTCTTCGCAAGGTTGTCGTCTAAAGTGTCGGTCACAGCCACACCCACCACTCGCGCACATATGTCGGCACAGGTTCACAAGGAGCGTGGCCTTGCTGTTTCCATACTCTTCGAAGCGCTGCGAAGCAACCACTCTAGCTAAATCTGACCCGTTGAATATCACACTGTCAAGGATGACAACCGTCGAGATCCCACAAATACAATTCCCTCCCCCCCTCGAGCCACCAGGTGTTCCCCCATCCAGCTCACCAGGGTGTTCACGGTTCCGCGTCGCGCAAATTTCTCTCCGCGCCGCATGTCTTCTTCACCCAAGCATGCCAGATGCCCTAGATCCTCCTCACTCCCACCAACCCGTCAATGGCGAGGATAGCTCCATGCTGACCTCATCAATCAGATGCCACCCAAATCCAACCCCTCCAGTCGCCGAAATTCGTGCGGACTGCTCACACTATATACACTATTAGGAGCTTCAGTCTGAAGCATCTCAAATCATTTACTGCTAGTGCGAGGTGAAGAAGGGCAAAGCAAAGGCACTCTAGCGCTCTCAATCGATAGAAAACATCCTGCATTCTGGTGCTCAGCGCTCATTCCATATCATCCAATCTCCTGAACTAGTGTCGCAGCGTATTTATTATCTTTTCGCGGTGGTAGTTCGGGTTTTTGAAAGCAAGTCCGCACGTAGTAACAGCATGTCGACCGCTCTGCGGCAGTGGCAAATGCCACCTGCCAGAGCCGTACTGGCGGCGCTGGTCCTCCTGATCTCCGCCGCATCGCTCGTTTCCTGCGAGCAGCGACTCTCCTATTCGGGATTCGCGACCAACGAGGATGGCGTACTCGTCGCGAAGCAAAGCCGGGTTACCCTCTTCAAGCGCAATTCGCCGAACTCAAAGTCGTCTTCGTCAAACGGCAAATCCGCGTTCGCGAAAAAGCAAAAGCAAGCCGAAGCAGAGATGATTGCGGCGGCGGCCAGCAAGCGCACCAAAAGTCCGAGCAAAGCCCGATCCTTCAGCAGCATCTTCGGCAGTCTCGTCTCAGCGCCTGCTGCGCAAGACACGAAGGTAGCGGCGGCGCCGTCTCTCACGATTTTCTGCTCGCCGAAGCCCTACTCGTCGATTCTCGATCCTAAGGACCCGCAGCCGGACAACCAGCTCCGCGCGCTGCGCTCCTGGCTGCGCCTCACACCGTCGCCAAAGATCGTCCTTCTAGGGAACGACTCGACCTTCACCGAGCTCGCTCGTCGCTTCCCGAAGCAGGTCTCCGTGGAATCCGCTATCGATACTAACTACTACGGCCTGCCGCAGTTCCATAGTATCGTGGCGCGCGCGCAAGCGGCGGACACGGACCTGTCGATGATCATCAACGGCGATATCATCCTCCTTAACAACGTCCTCGATGCAATCAACAAGGTTCACAAGACGTTCCCGCATTGGGTGATGACCGCGGCGCGGTGGGACGTGGCGGAGGATTTCCCGTACACCTTCTTCCCTTCCATGTGGGCGAACGCGCGGAGCCGCGGTCCCGCCGCGCTCGAGAAGGAAATCGCCGAGTACGCGCGGACCAAGGGGTCGCTGCATACGTACGGCGGGATGGATTTCTGGGTGTGGAATAACTCTCCCGTGCAGCTGCACACGGGCATCATGCCGCCGTTCGCGTTCGGGCGCGGCAAGTACGACAACTGGTTCACGCACGAGATCGTCGCCTCGGGCCTTCGCGAAGTCGTCGACGCGAGCGACGCGGTGACGTCCATCCACGTGGCGCACTCCTACGCGCACGT